GTTTTTGTGGCTAATACAGTGAGCTCAGGAACAGGAAGCAAACTCAGGGGAGGTCACATATTTAGACTAGAGAGGGCTGCTTTTAAAATCGTGCTTTGGACACATGTCAGGAAAGCTGAAGGTGAAATGGCCAGATAAAGACTGAGGTGTGTAAAAGAATAAAGAATTGCTGTAGGTGCTAGAGGCAGTGGGACAAAAACATTTTATGTAGTAGGCTGTATAAGTAAAGATCTGTAAATGTAATTAAGCAGTGAGGCTGGATACCTGCAGAGGGGAAGGTAAGGAAAAGCTGGAAAGCAATTAAATGCAGTTTTGGAAGAGAATAGTGACAAAATACTTCTAGCTGTCATATGATGATGATTTGGAATATAATGAAAATGCAGTGAAAAACTAGGGACAAAGATGAGCGCTGTATTGGCAGACTTACAACATCAGTATTAGGAAATGCTCTTCAGATGCTTATTCCAAGGCCACCTGGAAAGGTACGGTTACTACAGTTCAAAAAGATCTTGTGAGAGATGATTATCAAGCTAGATTTCAGCTATTGCTTAAATGTCCCTCCCCTTCAGTCTAGGCAAAAGTGTAAGTCATATAAATATTTGGATTTTCAGAAAGCCCTGACATATCTATGTGACTTAATAATTATCTAAATTATATTTAGGGTTTTTTTAATAATAAAGAACTTTGTAGCTAAGCAGCAAGATGAAAATGAAAACCATTAGTTTTTGCAGGATATTTCTCGTGTGAACTCGGTACAGCATTTGTATGGTGATTAGTTCTTTTGAATGTGAGCCCTGCCTGATCACTATTATGATATTTCCTTCAAATATTACGAGATATTTCTGTACCTGGATCTATGGCTTTCTCTGCTTTTCACTTTCTTCTAAAGTTCTAGGATCAGAACACGGTTTGGAGACATGGTGAGAGGCAGGCCATGCAGCTAGCCATATCCAGGTCAAAGTACTTACAAAGTACTTTGATCCTAGAAGAATCAGAGTGCAAAGGGACAGTTTAACTGCCTGACAGCAATAAAACAGGGAAGCAATATCTAGTTACTGTGACCTCGGAGATGGAGACACATAGGTAAGCAGAATGAGAAGTCAGAAGCGTGTGCAAAGCAGCATGGGAAAGCAGCTGTAGGATTGTCAGAATATTTCTAAGCGGAGACATGATCATCCAGACATCGCTGAAAGGTTACTTGCTCTGATATGCAAGGAACCCTAATTAATAATAATGTCAACAGCTTTGAAAGCTTTGCAGCAATCTGCAAGTTGCATCAGTGTAAGGTTTGAATTGCATGAGTGAATCCCTGTTTGTGTTGAGTATACAGGCATATGCCTGAGGCAAACTGCCTTGTAAACAAATATTAAATTGGATCAGCAACATTTCCAAAATATTTACTAGTTTTCCTTGGGATCGGTCAGGTGATTGAAACGTCATTTCCATGCTTTCATTGCACATAGGGGGCCTGAAAGGATATTAAAGATTAAACAGTTTGGCAGGGTTTTGGCAAGGGATGCCAAAATAGACCCAAATTTTGTCTAGAGCGTGACTGACAGGTAAATAGGCATAGAGGCTAGTTTAACTGATAGCCCCTATGTAGATGATCCGGAGTTTGACCAAGACCTTAAAGATAGGACCTGTCTGTTCCCTACTGGCAGTCCATTCTTGTCTCGGAAATACTGTTTGCCAGCAGTGCTTCAGAGGAGAGAGCACAATTAACCTTATGTATATTCCAAGTGATTAGCATTGTGTTCCATAATATATAAACTGGTATTTGAGTTTATGCATAGTATTGGGTATTGTCCTCTTAAGCAGATGTCCCCTCCTTCCAGTTCTTTTTCCTCCTTGCTTAAAGGGTAGCTAGCAAGAGAGGAAGAGTTCCTGTTTTCAAACCTCTCCTGTGGTTTGATTAGGTAATTTGCAGTTCTGTTAGATTTGGCAGGAATACATCAACATCAGAACAGTATATGAAAGTTCAAATGAAATCACTGCTGTTACCTTACAGTGTCCCTTTAAGTGAAACAAAGTGTAGCACAGTGTTGAGTGCTGTTTAGAAAGCACTTACATGGACAGAATATGCTATATATGCTAGAAATCTGAGCTATTTCAAAGCATGGGGAAAATTATGTTATAAACCAAACACCCCCACCCCCACCCCAGAAACTTGTTCAGTCTATCAAGACTGAAAAGACTGCAGAATATCCTTCTGAGATGGAGGATGAAAAATTTTGTCCTTGCAAAAGTGGCTCCATTTTCTCTGGATGTGGAGTTAGTACTGTGGACAATCAGCCCTTTGAGAAGCAGTTGCTAACAACTTCCCCTTGTGTTGACCTGAAAATCCAGGAAGCATGTAGGACACAGTGCCCCCAAAAGTTATCCACCCTCTTTTCTGAGGTTTCCCTAGCTCAAGAAGAGTGGTCAAACAAGGAAAAGGCAAAGAACAAGGAAGAAGGTCCTATGATAGATTCTACTTTACCTCAGAGTTGAGGGAAAAGGACTTAAATTTCGGCACAGAAGTGAGTGAATTATAGAAATGGGCAGGAAATTAAGAGGTGGCTAGCAGAGTTAATGAGAAGGCAAATACTGTTTAAGACCACACTCCATCCAAGTTCCTGCTCACCTTCTACCTCTATTCATTCCATGTTGGCAGACTGTGAAGCTTCTAGGTTAGTGGAAAGCTGATTTCTGAGGAGGTTCTGTTGCAAGCATCTCTCTGACTGTAAGAGTTAAGTTCCTTCAAATTTTTTCCCATTCCCTGCAAACCCAAAATTACTCCACCACAACACCCAAGGCTCCTAACCCTTCTCCCAGAGGAATTGTGCTGATTTAGCTGCTGTGTATAGATTCAAAGTTCTTAAATTGTCCTTTTTTTCTTAATTTAAACTTGCATTGTTGCAACAAATCTTCCTTTCTTAAGTCTATGAAAGCATTTTAAAAATTTTTTGTTCCTCAGCCAAAGCATTACTGCTAATTAAACTAATATATAACTAAAATGTATGTTTTAAAAGTCTGTATATAGACATTGATCTGTCCAGTTTAGCTTGCTCATTCAAATTGGCTGTGTATGCAAATACTACGTAAAATTAAAAATTAATGAAAGTGCACAATAGACACAAGAAACCTGACAAGTAACAATAAACCTCATCAACTTAACATGTAATCATCCCACTTAAAACCAATAAGCATGCCAAACAGGCAAGACAGGTTGTATGCAAGAGGACTCTAGATTATCATGTTATAATGCACAAAAGCTGTAGTTTGACCAGTTTTATTTTAAAGCCAGTATTGCCACTGAAAGGAGGAGTCCCATGCTTATGAACTTGCTGTTGGTTTCTGCTCTCAGTGCTGGTTTCTATATCCTTCTCCACCTTCTTTCTGTGATCCTTCTTGCGCTGGAATTACTGGGTGACTGTGGGTGAGGCATCTGATGAGCTTGTGTGCATGGGCAGGGTAGGAAGCAGGAGAAAAAGCATCTGTGGTCTATTTTTCTATTCACTCTGTCCCTCGATGTTTACCACACTTAACTGCGATTTTTCCAGTGCTATCCTATACTTCAAACTAGGATGGGAATAGGCAACTCAAAAGCATTAAGCCAGGCACACATCTGAAACAGGACAGTTTCCTCCTAGTACATCCCTGTGCTGCATTCATGGTGCTCTGTGTCTAGGTGAGAGTGTTTAGCCGAAGTACGTGCCCTGTTCTTGAAGATACGGCGTGCAAATACAGCTTGAAAATGGGTATCACTTTCTACCTTGGACCTACCACTGAGCCTTGCCTCCAAAAAGCACACTCAGATTTCTCCTTGCATCTGCTTGTCATGAGTTCAGCTGTTCTTTCTGTAACTTACACATCACAGCTAAAGAAGCCTTTTATTGGAAAAGATGAGCAGTCTTCTAGAATAAAAGGAAGCAGGCTACCATTGTTTAAAATACAGGTAGTTTGTATGTACCTACATCACAATGTGGATTTCTGTTTTAAACTAGAAGACTGATGAAAATCTTAAATTCTTGCATCGCAGACTTTTCTAAACTTTTTCTAATCTCTATAAACATGAATAAATTTGCCATGGTGGTAATTCAGTGCTTTGAGAAGTACACATTTTCTTTCTGAGGTGCAGGTACTGATGTAGGAAGAAAATGGGACACAATTCCCATGAATACTACTGATACGCATGTGGGAAAGCTCAACTGCGAGGAAATGTTAAGGCTTTTCAAGACTTGAACTATTGTGGCAACTTTCTGATAGTAGCACACATCTATGTAACATTGGTCTGTTTGATGACAAATCGGCTCGTTTGAGAGTATCAACTTAGAAATAGCCAGAGTCATGCATTTCTGACTGGGGAAGGTACCTGAACTGTGAGCTGGTTCTGTCTAGTTCCTAGAGAAATCCTCTTTTTCATGCTGACCCTTTGCAGACACGACTAACATTCTAGACTAGGTGGTATCATGTCCAGGAATGTCTCTGGTTTGCAGCAGGCATTGGTATGAATGCTTTCTGTCCACTGAATGTATAAGCTAGTTTGTGGTCTTAATTCAGAAATAAACACTGAATACCTCTGAAATCTGCCCTGTAGTTGTAACCAACAGGTCCTTTCATAACATGTTCTATGGAGCAATGACACCAATCACTGCAGTGGGAAAAGAGGAGGGATATGGGTGGAACAAAGGTGAATTTCATAGGTCTTGCAGTAGGAAACCTTCCCTGAGGTTTTCCCAGTGAAAGACACAAATAAGTGTCTTTCTTCACTTGTACGAAGAAGCTGATAATTTTTTTTTTCAACTTCTCAAGCTTTTTGTCATCACAAGAGAAGAGCAAAATACCTTTTCACATTTGGATAGTATGCCTATAGAAAGTCATCTGTGTGATAAAGACTACAGAAATCAGAGTATAGATCCAATGGTTTGTCATGAAGGATCTCTAAGTTGTACTACAACATTACTGTTCTTTCAGTCTTGCATTTCATATCCTTACCATTTGTTGCTTTCATCCTATAGGTAAGGCACAGAACTTCAGACCAGGTAATGGCTTTGAAGATGAACACACTGAACAGCAACAGAGCAAACATGCTGAAAGAGGTTCAACTCATGAATAGACTCTCACATCCAAACATCTTAAGGTATAGTGGCTTTTTTCTGAATCTTAGAGATAGGTTGTCTTTCATAGAGCTTTCTTATTTCCAGCATTTATCATAGCTTTATTTGTTGTAAATATGTTGGGGTCAGCTTTTACTTTAATGGAAGAAGGGGAGGAGGAAGAAAAGACTTCCACTTCCTTTTCTTCAGAACCCTTAGATAAGCAGCATATGATTCTGGGGTGTGATACAGATGCTTTTTCAGTAAGGTTTGTGGAAAGAATAACTGCATAGGATTGACATTATCAGAATCATTAAGTCAGTACACTTCATCAATTTCTTTATCAGCTTTGTGTAGTTTGTAAATCTTATTTTAAAAAACATCTAGCTTTAAAATTCCGTTCAAAATAAAGTATTTAATTTGTGCTGGGGTGAGGGAAAGCTAGGAAGGGGATAGTTTGACAGGCAAAAAGCATTCAGTTGCAGATTAATGTAACACTGCCCCCACCTTGAATGGAGTTACACAGGTGTTGCTGAGAACAAAAGTTATTGTGCTCAGTTCTGAGTAATTGCTGAAATTTAAATATCTGACAATGTCTCAGAGATCATATTGATGATATACCTGTCCCCTCTGGCCTTAGACTCTATGAATAATTTGAAGTCAGTGGTGTTGCACAGATGGTCCTGAAGGAAGAACAATAATGTATTGATTTATGCATGAAGCAGAAAAGAAATTCCATTTGGTCTCCCAGTTATTATACAGGACTGATAGAGAAATCTTTTTTCTGTGTGCTCAGCTAAGCAGTTATGACTGAATACCTAAGAAATAAATGACTGAAAAAGAAATGGTTTATCTTTGCGGAATTTGTTTTAAAGAAGAAACTACATTTGCTTTATGAATTGCTTCGTTTGAGGCTTCTTCAGAGTTGGTTCTCTGGTAAAAAATATTGCGTTTTTCTTATGTATTAGGTAAGTACCCTTGCTGCAAGGAGCAAGGACATTCCTACAGAAAATGCAAATGAGAAAACTAGTTTTAGGTTTTTTTTAATTGAATGATGCAGAGTGAAAATGATTATTTTTATTTGTAGGACATTAACTTGGTGGTTTTGTGTGTTAGGTATGTGCCATTTTATTTTTGCTTTAAAAATCACTTACTGCAGTGTTTCCAGTCCTTTTATATCTGGGAGAAGATTTCTGCCCTTTTTAAAATGTTACCTGCCTATGTGTCTATATATATCTGTGTATATGTATACACACACATGCATACAAACGTTTGTATTTATGTTTCAGAAACCTATAATGATTGGTGCTTCTTCTAGTGTTGTAAAAATTAGTTTAGGATCTATTTCCCACTTCAGAAATACATTAAAAATAATATATGGTAATAATTTGCTTTTATAGTAAAGTGGTGAGAGGTGAAAACAAGGTGTTGTCAAGTAAGAGCAGCTGGAGTAGTATTGCTAAGAGGCCATTAGGAAAATGTCAGCAACATGTTCCTGCTGAAACATTTTCTGGGATTATTTTTGGAAATTTTAAACTTGTATTAGTATTTAAAGGGAATGATCCACTTCCAAGAAGCCTTAATGTGTAACTTCCCCTTTCCAGGGGCTATGAGCTACCTCAGTTTGCTGTTAAATGTTATTTTCTTAAATCTGTCTGAAGTTCTTCCTCTATTACAGAGTAATCTGTTTTGTCACTAGCATCAAGTTTATTGGTTGGTCACTGGATCTCCTCCACATGCCTTGAAGGGGTACTCTGATTTTACGTAATATATAGATCTGAGCTGCTTCATATTCTGTAAGATCTAGGACTACCTACTTTTAACTTAAACTGTAAACAAGTTACTTTCCTTAGTGCTGATCTGTTGTTTGCCAGTAAGGATACCAGTGGATTCTTAGGCTGAAATGCTAAGATCATGTTGTGCAGTGGTTAATTGTAGCAGGTAGAGGGCTGCAAGGTGCTCTGATATCAAATGGCTTGTAAAATTATGAAACTGGATGTATATTGTCTTTACAGCATCCAAAAATCTGCTCTTAACCTATTTCAACATGTGCAGTTCAGTCAGTTATGTTTTAAAAAGTGAATGTCAGATTCAGAAATGATGCTTTTATTTTAGTATGTTAAAATCTTTCTTAACCTGGGTATGTAGTTATGTTTTTAAATTTTTTGATGTTTTGGTACCTAAAATTTGTAATTGAATCAATGTTTTTATCCTAGAACTTTTCCCTGGTTTATATGAAGTAAGTGCTATGGAAGAGAGATCTCTTCCTAGTAGTGTGTTTGATAGCCAAAGATCATTATTATCCTTTGAGTGAATAAAAAACCCCATCCCTTTGCCAGTGCTCTAAAACACATAGCAACTTTTTACAAGCTATCAATTCCGATGTGTGCACAGTTAACTTCAAGATGTTACTGCAAAGATTCTGTATTTTTGTCATTGATTGCACTGATGTGAGCAATAAATACTGCTGACTATTTAAAACTGCTTTTGCTTCTGCGCTGTCCATACCAACTTATTTTCACCATTCCAGATACCTTTTAAGGTTTTTATCCTAGCTTGTAATCACCGTTCTGGAGTGTGAGTTTGTCAGTAGTTTCTGACTTTCTTCTGTTTCTTAACTTGGCAGAGATTACCTGGGGGCAAGTCTGTGTTTTTTCCTTAGTGACACTTTTGTACTATTTTAGGAGACGGAGTTGTGTTCTAATACTTGGTGAAGTATCAATCTGGTTATTTAGGCTGTAAAAATAACTTGTATTTCTGGGCACAGAGTGAGAGGCTAACTTGAAATATCCCCGCTCATTTCAGTATTTTTATGCTGAAATTCTGCTCTTGGCCAGCTATGTGGATCCGTCTTGATCAGAAGACTGATGTAAGTGAAGAGTTTAGTTTTCTAAGAGCTTACTTACCAAGTCCTCAGTAAGTATACTATCCCCGTGGTAGCATCATGAAGATTCTAGTGGTCAAATATATACATATATTTTTAAAAATTTCTAATATATTTTCCATCAAGAAAATTAGAAACTTCCCTCTATTAGAGGGATTACTTTGGCAAAAATGGAGCCTCTTTGTCAGTCTGTTAAAGATATTTTGGAATAGAAGGCTTCAGCTCTTGCATCTTGCATAAAGGAGCTTTAGAGGTTTTCTATTTGTCTCCCTCCTTCTTGCTTCCTGTTTCAGTTATCAGGTGTGATTCCAGAGGCAGAGTTAACTGTTATATAGTAATTTTTTGTTCAGTCACTGTCTGGTGATTGTAAGAAACGATGTATGAAAGAGCTGTTTTTTTTTTTTGTTTTGCCTTTTTTCCCAGGGACCAGCTTGGGGATATTTTGGAGTCGATAGGGTGCAAGCAGACTAATGGTGTTCATGGAATGTTCTGCTCTGTTTCTACCATCAAACTCATCTCCTCTTTCTACCTCACTGCTCCATGCAAGCTAAACATGAAGAACTAAAATGCTTTCCTGCCTCTGATCTACATTTCTTGCCCTGGGTGTGGGATGTGCTGGCTTTATCACATCTTCTCTCAAAACAGATGGTGAGAACAGGAATGGAAAAGTGAGCTGATGGTCTGTTTTGCACCACATGATGTTTACTATAGCCACTTTAGTATATGCTGGCTGATACACAGCAAGAATGTAATAGCTGGGGTTAGAGCACACAGAGGTTTGGAGCATTTCTTCACTTTTCTTACTAGCTTGTGTCCCATTTAAAGCTCAGTGCTGTTGAAGGCTTGGGTTAGATCTGGTACCAGTGTTATGAAAGGTCTGGTGTTTGCCTGTAAACGTCTTTTACTGCTTTGCTGCTTCTCTGTATGCTGATCTGTTGTTGTAAGTCTAGAGTTTCCACCCAAATCAAAATAAGAAAATAGGGCTGGAAAGGACTTAGAAAATCTATGTCTTTGTGTCCTAGGCTGGGAGCCTTAGAACTGCAGGCTGAGAGCCCCAATACCTTTTCATTCTGGTAATGTCTTACAGGTGTGTTTTTCTCATTTTCACAGATGTGTGCTAACACAGATCCTGCATCTCCTGTGCTGTCTGTTAAATTGGTATATCTTCAATTTTGAGATAGAATTTCAGTCTTTAATATCACTACTGTTTCCATGAAAAAGTATTTCTTTATTTGATCTGTACCTTGGGGACTTCATTTAAAACATTCTGTACACAGAAAGCCTTAGCTCATGTCTTAAGTGCTCTCATGGGAGTGCTTGGAGGTATTGCTGTGTGTTTGGCAGTGAGTGTGCAGGCAGATTGACTCATTGATTAAATCCATCTTCTTGTGTGCGCACACACACACAAATAAGCAAGCAGTGCGCGTACTGCATGAACTTTTTTCAAGGAGAATTTTATTTCATCTCCTTTCAGACAAATCTAGCACCTTGGGAACACAGTACTGGGGTTTTTTGTGTGTGGTTTTCTCCTTTCAAACCTTCCTTTTTGTGACATTACTTGTGAATGACTTTGTTACAACAGGCAGAAAGATTACTTTTGTCTTTTAACATCCTTTGTCCTGTATTGAACAGTGCTTTAACAGAGGAGAAATACTTTTGCTTCTCTCTGTGTAATGTGGTTATCAAAAAGTAGTATTTTAGAAATGCTGTGCACAAGACAGCTGTATGTGTTGTATATAATATGAAAATATAGAATAAATGTGTCTTGCATCTATGTTTGAATTCAAAATGCAAGTGTAGAAAACTTAAAATACGTTTTTAATCTAGCATGGTACCTAAAACATTAAGAAGGGTCTTGATGCAGACTTAATATTCTTACTCACCCTTTTCCTTCTTCAACAGTCAGTGCAATGAAATAATATGTGTCTTTTGACCTTGTTTCCCTTTGTGTTACTGCGCTCACATGAGAGACTTTTGCATTGTGTTTTGTTTGTTTCTTATGTTTAATGTTATCATCAAACTGCTGAATTTTCTCATACAAGCAGTTGATTTCAGAGGGCACTAAGTCATTATGTTCAACTGTAGCTGCCGAGGCTTATTCACAGAACTGTCGCAGTGAAGTTCCTTTAATGGGAAGCATGTGTTCAATGTCTAGATGTCTGCAGTGGCAGTGTATAATCTGGATATTAGTTTTGCTTGATTTATCAAGGAGGCAAAGATTGCGGTCTGAGGCTACAGTTCTTAGTCTTGCCTTTTCTGTCCAGAATTTTCTCCCTTGCAGTCAGGCAGACCTGAAAGCAGTTTGGGTAACTGCTGTAACAGACTAGGAAATATCCAGAGTACCTTCTCTTGCTCTTGCATAGCAGGTATTCCAGATTGATTGAGGAATAACCTGGTTTATGGCAAGACACCTCAACATCTGAACATCACTGACATTTGTTAGAAAGCATTTTGTGGTGGAAATGTGCTGCACTGTATTTAGTAGGGAGGACTCAAATAGCATCGTTCATATTTGCAGCTTCTGGAGAAATTTTTCCAACTACTAGTTAGGATTTTGGAAGTGCTTCAGTTTTTCTGATAAGGCCAGATCACTGTCTTGAAAACTAACTTCCTTAAATCTGCAAACAGTCTCCTGTTTTGTGGCTGACTGGCTCATTGAAGCTTCTTCCAACTAGAAATGCTTATAGGAAGTGTAACCTTTGGCCGACAAGACATTCTGCAGAAGTTCACCTACAAGCACTTTTTGGCTCTGGAGACAGTGCGTCTAGCCAACAGGAATAATCTCAGCTGTACTGCACCAGCATGTCAGCTTCCTATCCACAAAATTTGGAATCTCATCTGGGGCAATCTCAGAAATTGAAATTTTATGTTAAATCTTGCTTGGTAATTGTATTTCCTGGTAGCAGTTGTATGTATTATCTTTTAGTGAAAAATCTTTCCAGTGCTGTTTTGCAGCAGTACTTGGCTTAGCCAAGAGGCTTATTATTGCTTGATACAGCAGCTAAGAAGAAGTTTTCCAGGAATTTGGATCACTAGAGGTCTGTTCTTTCAATCTATTTTCCAGAGCCTGAAAACTGAGATTCTTGACACAGTTTAAATGGTTTCAGTATGTTGCTTGTAAACTCATTAATTCTGTCTTTATCAGTATATCTGGTTTCTCTTTTCCTGGGTAATAAATTCTAAATATGTAGGGTTTATAAATGTATTTTCATGCCCAGCTTTTTTCCATGAGATCATGATATTGAGCTTTGTTTTTAATTTCTCATTTAACGTTTTACATTTTAATGTATGTCTGTTTCCCAGTAGAAGCCCTAAATGTCTAAGAATTTTTGAACTCTTACTCTTCGTAACTTGAGCCAGTGTGTCTTTTCTGCTTTAAGTGTAGGTTGACAAAGGTAATCAATATGTTTCCATTAAGACTTCCCTTGACTAAAAACAGGTTGGCAGAAAAAGTTAAGTTCTACCAGTCTCTGGGTGACAGGGATGCTTTTCTTTTCTGGTAAAGATGAGACAAGAAATTTAATTTTGCCAGAATTCTGATGAATTCTTAATTGAATTAATATTTTTAGAATTAAGCCAAATACAATGAATTCCTAATTTGACAGTAACATAATACACCTTGACAAAGGAAGAGTTAATACATAGATGAAAATGTTATTTTTAATTACTTAGCCTCAGTTTTTGTTGAATGAAAATAATGCAGTACTGGGTTAACCTGGCGTCATTAGCATGTCAAAAGCTGTCTAATAGTGGAACTTGGATTTTTCAAAAAATCTTGGATTTTTCTTCCATTTTTTGCTTGTGAATAAAGCTATTAACACCATACTGGATGATGGTTTTGTAGACTTTCAGAATGCATTAAGAAGAAACAGATTTCTGCTCTGGAGAAGTCTGGATTTCTTAGTCTCAGGAAGCTTAACTTGCTTACAAAATGGTTCATATGCAATCATTGTATGGAGTGAAACTCAGAAACAACAATGCTTTGAGTAGATGGTATACCTAAAAGAATTCGTTCTTTTCCCTTGAATACCAGGTCATGCCCTATTGTTCTTCATTGAACAAGAGAAATCAGATTTTCACTGTCTCTCAAATTAAAATTTGCGTATTTAATTTAGAGAATATTATTTGGGGGGAGATGTTCAAGTACAAGTCCTGCTGCTTCTTTGGTTATAAAAACAGATTTCCACAGCTCAGCTTATGCAAAGGATCTTACCTATATTATTTTTCTTTGCTTGTAATTTACCAGTCAGCTGTTAGACAAGAGAACAGTGAGAATCATTCATTTCTTCAAAAGCAGCTTAACTGAACTAGTACTACATGTGTCTTGCATCATTTTGTTCTTAAATTTGGACGTGTTTGAGAATACAAAAGGTCTTTTTCTTTCAAATTGTTCTCCACAGGATTCCTCTGTCACATTTAATGAAATAAGACATTTCTAGCCCTAGCTTGTGAAATGGAAATTTCTGAACATTGTGGACATAACAGTGTGTTTTTACTTGTTAAGGCCAAAATCTAAATGATAAAACTGAAAATTAGTTAATCTAAAAATAACCAATTCATTAACTATGCAGGGAAGGCTCTAAAGTGCATACAGTTTAAGTTTAAATGAAACTTTCTTATGGGAGAAGTTTACCATTAATTTTCTTTTTGTCACTTTTAAGTTCAGCTTGTATGGTGGTAAAAATGAGCTTTCAGTTATTCCTCGTATGTTAAATGTATGGCACATTCTCTAGGTTTTCCAGAAAAATTAAGGGTGACAGACATTACTATTCACAGCAGGAGTCTGAACCTTGTGCAGTGTAGGTAACTTTTGTGGGATGTGTGTATACTGGGTACTATCGAAATTTGCTTTGAACCAAGTGTTGGAAATAGGGGGTTGAGGAGGGGAAGTATACTGCACGTATGTGCCCTCATACTCCTGAGTGGTTAGGAATGGAATAGGAAGTAACATATTTATGCTTAAGCAGCAAGATGCGGGGGGAAGTAATTTTCTATTTATGCAGACCAGCAGTGAATTACTTGGCTTAAACTTCCTTAAAACAGAATTCTGATACTGTTCCTTTCTGAATAAATCATTATATGCTGGTCTTTGCTTATAGTCAAACTAGTAACTTTCCGTCTTGAGTTTGAGCTCTCTCCTGTGCTCTCTTGGAACTGCTAATTCAAATTATATTGTAGTGTAGACACGTGATTTTGTTTTGTGCTAAGATGTTTAAATAATCAACCTTGAGGTATACAGTATCTGTGACACTGCATTTTTTCTTTTTCCTTCTTTCTTGGCATATCCGGTGGTACTTATTATCTTAGTTTCTTCAAAGAAAAAAAAGAGGGGGGGAAGAAAGCCCAAACCACTTTTCTTTTCTTGTTTCTTGTAGGTTTATGGGTGTCTGTGTGCATCAAGGACAGCTGCACGCACTTACTGAGGTAAGACTCTTTCATAATATACATACTCAATATGGAACAGTTCTTGGGCCAGATTCTGTAATTGCTGCTCACCTTGAGTGATAATTTCTTTTACGGTGACTGGTGAATTAATCATATGCTACTTGCTACACAGTGGGAAGATTGCAGAATCAGGCCTCAGAACTGTACTTCACTCATAGCCCTTGTATGCTTTTCTCATCAGACATGCTTATTAGGATGAAAAAAAAAAAGTAGTAAGAACATAAAATCTCACTGATAATACTCTAAATGAGAGATGTGGATTACCCTTAAAATGCTGCTAAATATTATTTTTTGGGGTTGACACTGCATTGTATTTAAGTCTTATTTATGCTCCAGTTGTGTGTACATTTCACAGGTGAATCAAGGATGTTTCAGATGTGTGTTACTAGTGTATTGGGTCCTTGCCACTTTCTTATATGGAATAACATCAAGATTACAGCTTAATCTGGGTCCTACAAGGAGGAATTATTCCATTGGCAATATACCCTGGCCAAAACCTAGGTATCAAATGAGAAACTGAAGTTTCTGTCCATGTGAGTCTTTCCACCAGTTTTTACTGGGTTGTATGTTTAAACCCCCTGTAAAACTGCTCAGGAAAAACAAGCCGGGAGTATTCTCTTGTTAGGAATAGCGTTGCCTGTTTTGAGTCAAAATCAATAAAATGTTTGTCCTGCTGTTTTATTTTGAGTACAGATTGAGGGGAAACTCATGTTTTGTAAAGTTAAATGTTGCTTCTGTTTTGTAGGAGCTGCTCAATTGAAAGATTAACCCTTTCCCACCCCTCAAAGACAAATATGTTGTTAGCAATTAAAACAGGTTCCTGGCATGCTTGCCAAGAGCTACTGTAAAATGAGAAGACTGGATAGCTGTGTGCCAGTTAAAGGGATATGTGTGGCCACAACTTTCATATGCAACTCCAAGGCAAAGATGCACATATGTGGGCAGTGAATTTCTTTATGTTTTGGGGTGACAGTTCTGCAATTCTCGTTCTACTACTGGAGTGATGCACACTAGTTCACAGTGACCATATTTCTAGTGTAAGTGCAAAGATAAAGACACTTTCAGAAATTTCAAGATACAGCACGTGTGAGGGGTCCTTTGATACAAGGGGCAGTTTATTTGATCTTTTTTTTCTCCCTATGCTCAGGAGAGGAAATGTTTCTAAGATTTGGCATTAGATGGCTGATAAAGCCCTTCAGACAGGCGTTGCTAATATTATTGCCAATTTCTTTTGGACCTCTGATCAGTTAAAACAGGGGAGGTTACAGGCCCTTCCACTCACTAAGCATGTCCTAGAAGACATGGAGCTTCATAACACTTCATTGTACTAAATCTTGGCGGATCTTGCTCAGTGTGGGGTTTTTTGGTTTGGTTTTGTTGTGTTTTTTTTTTCCCATTTGTTTGTTTGTTTTTTCCCCCTTTCATCCTAGTTGCTTTTAATGTCCTTCCCCACCCAGAAAGCCAAGAAAATGAAACCAGCACAGGATGCTTCCTCATGGAGAGCTAACTTTGTAGCTGCTTGCTTTTTTCAGCTATTTTTGAGTTCTTGGCAAGCAAATAAATCTAAGAAAGACTTCAAAGAATAACTTTTTATAGTTATAATTCAGAATAACAGAAGAGATTCCTGAAACATCTTGAGACCAAAGAGGAAAAGTTTTAGACTGAAGAAGGTTGCCGCAAAATTTTAAGAAACAGAATAGCTTTAGTGACATAAAACTATATGTAGTGGTCACTGTTTTTCTTATGGGGACAAAGGTGGACATTTAATGCCTTCAGTAGGAAAAAACACAACTGAAGGCCATCATAAATTGATGTTACAGGGAATCCACGTGCAATTTTGTCCAATATAGTAGTTGTTCTTTGGTTTTACAGAGCTTTTAAAAGTTAAGAGTTGCGTTATGTTCCAAGTGGTGGAATTAGTTGTGTGTTCTGGCAACAGCAGTGGCATTTTTAATCTTGAAGTGTGTGTAGAGTAATAGTTGAGTTCTAAAGACTTTTGGAGGTTAGAGAAGGGGGCTGAAATGGCTAGCTGAAGGAATTATTGGTAAGACGGACATGGTGAGACACCAGTTCAAATATAGCCTAGGAGAATAAAATCAGCCACTGTCTTGTGCCTTTTTCAGCTTGTGGTTCAAAAGGTGGTCTCCTAGCTTCCAGTACCTGATGCTACTAGCACTCAGAGAACTTCTGCCAGGGTTTCATTTCTTTAGAGATGAAACTATTGATCCAGAGGTGTCTGAGTCACTGCAAGGAGAATCCTCTCTCGCACTAGCCTGTGCTGGACCTGTCTGTAAAGAACTTAATTAACCCTTCTTGTGTTTTGAGAGAACAGCTGATGATATGCATAAGTAAGAGGGGTACATGTCACTTAGAGCTTATGTCTGAGGATGAGATGGGAAATCGTGTTTTATTTGTTTGTGTTTGTTTCCATGACACAAGAAGTTTAGAACTTGTGGCAAATGTTTGGTGAATGGATTTAGACGACATGTGCTTAATAGCCTCCTGTACCATTAACAAGCAGGGCAACAACCACAAACCGTTTTAGAAGAGCCTTGAGGATTTTAGAAGCCTGTTAACGGCTTACATTAGTAATATACAGCATTTTGTTATTGGAAGGCAGAGTCTGAATTGTTACAGATTTCTTGCATGTTTAAACATATGGGAGGTTAAACACAGTGGATCATGCAGAACAGGTTTCTTGCTTGAGGAAGGTGTTGATCTTATGTAGGCCTTGGGTTTTTCCCTTTTGGCAGCATTTTACTTTTTTTTTTTCATTGTCCTCTCAAGTGGCTTTTGTTTTTAAAACTGTTGGGCAAGGAGCAGTTTCTGTTTGTTTTGGTTTGTTTTTTTTCAAAATAAGAATGGAATTGTTTAATTATAGCCTGCACTAGACCAAGACTTTGAATCCACAGTCTTATCAGTTCTGAAAATCCAATATTATTTTTGAAGTTCTACTCAAGCCAGATGCTACGGCATATGCCTCTTCTGAAGTACTTCAGTATTTCTCCTTAGAGTCACAGAATGGTTTAGGCTGACAGGAACCTCTATCCTTGCAAGCACATAGTTAAGAAACATTTAAGGAAAGTGAAGTAGATGCTTTAATAGGTGCACCACTCAGTTGAGCTGGCAGACATTAGACTGCCTCACTAACTTTGAGCTGGCACATATTTGCTATGCTCATTTTCTGTAAAACCAGGAACTGGGTATTCCTTTTTCAGTATTCAGCTCTAATCTGTAGCTAGTGGTTTGTTTCTGCAGCTACAAGAATCTGCAGGGCTTCCTGCTGTACTTGCATGCCTCTCCAACCTAACTGCAGCATCTCCTCAAGTCTCTCTGTGTTTTCCGGCCATCTTCCTGATCTGATGACTCTCTATTCGCTTGCATTTCTTAATTTCCTGGCACGCAGTGTCCTCAGACTTGGAGAAACTTGCGTAGTAGTACAGGCTCTGGTGTCAGCATGAGATGTTGCTGAGCATTCAGAGACCAGATCTGAGCTGCTGCCAGGAGGTTAGCAGGCAGCATACACTTCAGGGGACATGAAGCTGTGAGCCAGTTAGTGAGGAGCAGCCATGGCTTAGTAACAATAGTGTACGATCTTATCCCAGGCACATCTACCATGGAATGGATTCATGAGCAAGCATCCATTTTGGATGGGAGGCAAACATTTATTTGTGTGTTGCAGGTTCTGTAGGCCTATGCTATTAAACTGAAGCAGATAACAACATACGGTCTAGCACATGAAAGCCACTTAATACCTTTTTGCACATCTTAAATTATTTGTTGAACTTTGTTAAGCAGGTTTATCTTAATTTCTGAGAGAGAGGTCAGGGTAAAGTAGATGTATATATATGCACAGAATGAGTCATACAGCTTGATAATTCCTTCTTGGAGGAAATTAAAACCCTGACAGCTTTGTGTACAGAAGATGAGGAAGGGAGAGTTATATGTTGATTGGGATATCTTGAAATTGCAGTGCTTCACAAACAATAACTAATTGTTACAGCAGAAGTTTTATGGCTGTTAATTCATACTGGATGACAGTAAAAAAGTGCACAAATGCTCTGCTGCCACGATCTGAAGCTGTAGCTCTACTTGTTCAGTCCAGGATCTGACACATATTGGAGTTTTCTCAGGCAGGGCGCAGGGCCGTGACAGTGTGGTAGGAACGCCTGATCTGTGCTGGAGGGGTGGACAGTACTGTTTCAGCCAGCAGCTGGATCTGCTCTGCCTGACGTGCCTCTCCTGCCATCTTTCAGTCTTTCTTCTTGCCGGTGTGCTGCCTAGTCAATCCTTCTGATTCCGTCCCAAGTATCTGGTATGCTATTAGATGTTTTGTGGGTCTAAAAGTATATCTGGGCATCTTGGTTTTAAGGTGCTGTATATGTGGCATTGGAACAATGCTGAGATAGCTGTAAGGGTCGAGCCAGCCTTTCTGTGCACCTGGCTCCTCCAGTGCATCCTATTCCATGAGTTCTCCTTATCTGCCTCACATACTGCACCTTACAGCTGCTGGGTGCAGGGCTGCATGAAAGTGCCTTAAGTCTAAAGCATTTCCTGGGTGCTCAGAGTGGTTTTGTCTGCAGTAATGCATGCTGGCAATGTAGAGTATGGACAACAGAGTTTAATGCAGACCCACAGGGCAAAAAGTGCTGTAAGAAAAATCTTAACTGCTACTTTAATTTTTTAAAGAGAATCCACAGAATTCTTTGAACTTTGCATATTTTCAGTTCAATTAATTTTTTTTATAGCTGTGTCATGAACCCCAGGAAAAAATTTACTATGGAAATCCTCCCAGACATGTTAATTTTTATCTGGGCAAGGTAATTGCTATTAGACTATTTTTACATGTTGCACTGTAATAGCTTATTGAATTTGACACTGCTGTTTTTACCATCAACCACAACTCATTGTTTTGACAAATAATACTGTGATGTAGCAGTTTGGAAAAGACTTTTTTTCCCTCTTCCTTGCAGTGTCTC